CCCCCAACACACACAGATTAATGTAGGCCTAGGGCCTACATATAGGCTACGTTTACACACATACCCATAGTAACACACATTCGAAACAAATGAACAATTTTTAACAATGATAATGTTATCGTTTAAAATATAATCAATATGTTTTGTCTTTTTGCATACTTCGCTCTTTCTCTTTTGCTATCACCATATTTGCCTTCTTTTACTCTCTTATTCTTTCAGCACAACGGAGGTTATACAGTCAAAGGTCCTTGCTTATCACCCAGCTTAAGGTTACCACGGGCATTATAATTATAACTACATTATAAATGGAATCTGTTACATTGTAACAACTTCTTTCCAGGAGTGGTTGTTGATTTGCAGAAGATTTTCATCTCTAAAGATTGCTGTTTTAATCTTTATTGATATTACATGCTGTTCATGCAATTTTTTATAAGAAATTAATTCATGCTGCCTTCGAAATCTAAGTGAATTCATGAAATTTAAATTAACGAAATCCGAAATGCACGAACAACGAAAAATATCTTAAGTCAAATAAATTGGTTGTGCATTTGATTTCAAACAATGGTGTTTAACTTATAGGAAATATTTTAAAACAAAAATGAAACAAAAAGTTGAAAAACACATTTTATAGAGAGGAAATAATATGTTTCAAAGGTTAATGAATTTACTTTGACAAAAGAGTCAACATTCATAAATAAGGCTATTTCTTGGAAATTTTTTTGTGATAAAATTGTCCCGTTCACTTGATTGTAGCTTTGCTGCTGATTAACTTCCTTTTCCGCTTGCTTCGCTAAAACGCAATCATGGTAAGTAAACCGAGTCTGTAAAATCTCACAACATTTGTGCTTTTTCCTCCTGTATCATTAAAATCGACGGTGGCATTTAATAGTTTATCCATCTGCACACATGGTAAGAGTATATGGAAAATTATTTCTCTTTAAAATTTGAAGGACGAGTAAACTCAAATGATGTATCGAAAATAGTTCCCGTTTGTTTACATCCATATCATGTACACTTTCCTTTCCATTTCGCTTCCAAGCAAAGTATCGTTTTCTCTGTGTATGTCGAAACAAGTATATATATAAATGCGTGAAAAAAATTTCTTTGCTATGTTACCATATGCTTTGTATGTTCAATATCTAAAAGCTAAAGGATTTGTTTAGACACTTAAGGTCTTAGGCTGCCCTGACTGAGAGGCCACAACAGTAACCATACAGTAGTTATGTCTCATGAAAATTTCAAATTTCTCACAGATTAAAAATTTTACAATAGGTGGATGCAGCTTGAAAAATGCTTTCCAGTGGTACCAAATTTAGCATTCTACGATAATTAGAACTAAAGTTATGGCTTCTTTTGTAACGCCTCCTACTCCCATGTCATTCATGTACTGAGAGACAAAACAATTGATATATTGCTCCCTCCGTCACCTTTGATTTTAAGGAGTGGATCCATCATGTCCTATGACATGACTGTAATTAATGCAGTTTAGGTCTACTTTATACTTTATGGTAGATCTAGAGTGGTGTCGCCGGTACGCGTGCACTTCGCGATCGTTGAACGTATTTTCCGCCATTTCCGGCTTTGTACTTTCGTTTTTAGCTATTCCATTCAAGAAACTATTGACCTATAAAATGGTCTTGCTCATAACTCATAGTCGCCAGATTTCTTAAACGTTGTGTGCCCAACAGTTTTTCCAACCTAGGGTGTTGTCTTCACTGAACGTGCAAGTCTTCTCAGTGCGTGCATGGGATTCTTCACTGTGCCTGCACCCATATATACACGTTGAAAGCCAAAAGAAGAGGAATCTGATAACATTACTGCATTAAATGACCACACAGGAAGATAACAAGTCACTTTAGAAGCAAAGTAAGGCAATTTTAATTAGAATCTAAACTAATTTAATTTAGGGGGTATAAATAGTTCAAATACATAGTGAAAAAAAATCAAACAGAATTTTTCACAACTAAAATCCACATTTTCCTACTCTTCATCACTCATTCCTCTGATCTTTCCATCTTTCACACAGTCCACATGCCACCATCCATGACATTCTTCAAACTGCAACCAAATAATCTCTAAAATTGAGTCTACTTTTTTTCTTAGTATTCTACTATATATTTCATTGTGCACGCGCAGAGAAAACTCGAGTTTTTTCAGTCTTCACAACGCGTGCACCCCCCCGATCCCGAAACCCGCAATACAACTTGGCATAGAACTCGATAAAAGGTCACGTGAAACACTCAAGGAAGGAGTAGGCACATTTTTTAAGCTAGGGGGCGCGCACAGTCTATTTGAACCAATCAGAGGCAAATAGGTCATAAAAACTAGTTCACAGGTCAGCGTTGAATGTCAACTTGCCACAGCTGATAAAAACACTCTCGATGATCCCTTGTCGGCAAACGAGTGATGGAAGTAAACAAAAATGGCTGCTGCACACACTGACGCATTCAATCAAACGCAAAAACGCAATTTGAGGCTAAAAACAAAGGAAAACAAAAGTGCACGCACCGAGAAGGCGCACGCGCAGGGGCTACACCACTCTAGATCTAGATCTAGATTAGATCTAGATTCTAGATCTAGATCTAGATTCTAGATCTAGATCTAGATCTAGATTCTAGTGTTAATTAATTGCGAGAGTGACGCTGTGACAACTACTAAGGCAAAGCGGCGTTAGTTGTGACAGAGTGACTCTGTGACAATTAATGCATGCAGCGTTTTAATTGCGACAGGGTGAGTCTGTGACAAAAAAAGAATTTAAAAAGAAAGACACACACACACATTCAAATACTGGGAGGACTTCCGTAACGAGCGACCACTATGAGACAGAGCAGAATTGAGGGCTTGGGGTAGGGGTAGGTCTAGGCCTCTTCTTTATTGTGGTTGATGGGGTGGTCGCTCGTTACGGAAGTCCTCCCCAAATATTATCTAGAATCTAGATCTTAGATCTAAAATAGCCTACTATAAGGCTACACAATGCAAATATACACACGCACACACAAACACACAGACACACACACACACACACACACACACACACACACACAAAAGCAACAAGTGCACAGGCTTGTGGCCTTATTTTACACACACACACACACACACACACTAAACTGATAGGAAAACAGACAGTTGTTAGCTCTTTTCTTGTTGTCACTGTTGTTGCCCTAGATTCTAGAGTAAAATTACTGGTTCGGTCAAAATTAGGACGAAAACAGGCACGTCGACTTTAAAGCTTTATATCTCGTATCTGCCGTGCCCTAGAGACAACCCGAAACCAGCTACAGGAAGCCCTGTGATTGGATGACCCCAGGAATGTACTGTTTCAGCTTGTTCGCATATTTGAGGCCCTTACTGGGTGCGAAAGTGACGCCAGATTTATTTACGTGTTCATCCTTGATAGGGCCTCATATGTAAATAACTCCAGCTTTCAGAGTTTACTTCTTCTTCTTCTCGATCGCATCACACTTGAAGTCCGGTATCTGTAATAAATTGGGCGGTCCTGCTCAGTTCATCTGGCGGCCCGTATAGCTTCTCTTGTAGCGTCAGTGGGGTTGGCCACGTTTCCTGTCTCGGGGCCCTGTGTGTCTTGCAGTGCTGAAGGATGTGTTCAACAGTTTGGTCCGCCTCTCCACACTGGCATTTTGGTGATTGTACTAGTTTAAAACATTTGTACATATGTTGTCTCAGACGTCTCAGTCTTGTGTGTTGTGTCCTTAGTCTGAAGATAATCACTTGTTCTTTGCGGGACAGCTCATGGTAGCCATCTGGTGTCTTAGGTGTTTTAAATAGTGTATTTATAATAGTTTTTATTTCTGTGTAGTTAACGCTGTTGTCTGGTTGCTCTTTTTGTGCTCCTAGTTTGGCCATCCTGTCTGCCTGCTCATTTCCCAAGACACCACAGTGTGATGGAATCCACTGTAGCATGATCCTCAGACATGGGATGTCCTCATTTTCTTTTCGTAGCCTTGGTAGTTTGCCGGAAGTGATTGCCTGCAGTACTGACATGGCATCTGTTAGGAATACTACTTGGCTTTGGGGGTCTACCAAATCTTGATGGTGTTTGCTGCATGTACTAGAGCCTCCGTCTCTGCCCTGTAGTTTGTACAATGTCGCCCTGTTGGGACTGCCTCTGCTTGTCGTCGTCCATTTGGGAACTGTACGTACACTCCGGCTCCTCCTCTTTTCACAGCATCAGTGGCAGATCCGTCTGTATAGATCCTTATCCATGCTTCTCGTGGGTATCTTTCTTCAAGCATGGACAGGGTGAGGGACTTCTTGCTCAGGTTGCTGTGGTCATCTTTTGTGGTGAACATAGGAATGGACGTGTGTATAGATATGTTTGTGTTTTTCTTTTCCCATGATGGTGCCTCTGGGGTGTGATTCAGCATGTTAACTGTGGCTGGTAGATGGTCCTACTGTAGGGATCTTTGGATTTTTCTGCTTTCTTTGATGAAGTTGGATCTTTTGAGTCTTGCGGTGTTTGATCTCGCTGTTCTCGTGTGCAGTATATGATCCTCCATAGCTGTGGCCTTGGTGTACTGTATGAGGGCCTTGCATTCCCATCTCCTCTGCAGGGCCACTATAGATGTTGTTTGTTCCATCTTTTCTATAGACGTTGACCTCATTGCTCCAGTGATTATTCGGAGAGCCTGGTTTTACACTTTTTCCAGAGTTTACCAAAACGTAGAATCTAGGCGACAGGCTCCTTCATCCACAACCAATGTTAACTCTTCTGGGGGAAGAGGTTCACGCTGTTCTGCTCAGTTGATAAAGGAAAAGCTGTCTTAAGGACTATTTTTAGCAGAGGTGTACTAGGGGCTCGCTTTAGCTTTTGTAATATCAATAGGTTCCTGCACAAGGTAAAGAGACGCTTGCAAGTCTAAAAACTATCCTGACACTACTGACAGCTGTCTTAGATGGGTCATATAAGCGCTCTAGTCATGTCGTCTTTCTCTCTCAGCTGTAGCTACTTGTTACGACTTGTAGTTTTAGTGAATGGTTTACGCTTGAGTTACTTTGTGTAGGTCATCTCTTTTTAGTGCTGTTTTCTTGGTGCGGAACTGGAAATGGGCTTCTTAAACAGTGTCAATAGGACTAAATCTCGGACTATATCACATGCGGTGCATTTAGCCGTGGCAGAAATTGCTACCAAGGGGTTAAAACTGAAAGACAATTTTGTGTACCAGCTGAAGCAAGAATGAAAATATATCTAGTTATGACGTCTTAGTTTTTTTCGCTAGTTACATTGTTATTGTTGTTTTCAAATCCCTTTAGCTGCAAGCATTTCACTCTTGGCAGGGCAATGCCTCCCTCAAGTACTGTAACCCCATGTCCTTGTCATCTGGTCAATGCCAGAGTCGCCAGTTACATAAATCTAGGTTGATTCTTACAGTGCAGATTAAATCTGTCATTTCTGCCCTATTTTAAAATGATAGCTTATTTTCCTTCTCTTTGTATTAATTATGGCTTGAAAAGCTTTGTGTGAGTTTCATGTTAAGTTGAATTAGATAGCATGTAAGAGAAAATGAGTGGTCAATTCAATGTTGTCTCTTTGCAAATACCCTGTAAGTGAACATATTTCAATGTGCTTTGATGATCAACGCTATCTATTGAAACAGTGTCCTGGTGGGAAACACCTTTACCATTGGCTTTATTTTTTGTTTTATAATTGTTTATTGGTCTTCGTCTGTTGACAGGGTTGGGTTGATTTAAATCAGTTGATTTTTTAAATTTAAATCAACTTGATTTAAAAATCAGTGATTTAAATCACTTAAAATTTTTTTTCTTTCAGTTTTTACATCTTTAAACATTCAGAATTCCTTTCCTTGGTTTTATAAAACAGATATAAGGTTAAGTAGACTAAAATAATCATGCTTAAAAGTCTGCTTTCCCCCCTGTCACTGTAAGTAGTAAAATAATACTGTATTCAATTTACTTTTTTTTTCATAATTGAAACAAGCGGGCGCACACACACACACTATGAAATGCAAGTTTATCTATGCATAATTACCCCCCCCCCCCCTTTCTTTTAGACTGACATTTTCTTCATTTTTTTGCCTGTAGCCATAATTTTCAGTGATATAGCAGATTAAGGCTTTCTAAAATTGCAGTTGCTTAAATTAATCATTAGTTAAAATAACGAAGTGACTATTTCTCCGAACGTTCGGAGAAATAGTGCCGATCTTTATTTCTCCGAACGGTTTCCGGCTTCCGGTCTCGTGATTTTTTGTCTATTTATTGCGAGAGTTCGGCGCCAACTTTCATTCTGCCTCTGGCCTCTGGTCTGGGAAGGAGCACCGCATGGCAAGCCCGCCTACAGACAACCTTCAGTAACACCCACCACACACCCACCACCATCATGCACATGTACACACACTAACTAAACATGACCAGTGGGCAACTTTTGAACGTATGACGAGCTGAGCTGTGGACGGAGAGACAGTGTGAGTGAAAGAGCGGGTGAAAGGAAGAATGTGCGAGTGTATCCACAGGCGACAGCAACTACAAGACAAGACGACGACACCGACCCCCTGGCCTGGTTCACAGCTCACGAAAGAAAGGAATGCAGCTCAGGCAGTGTTTAGCCTATATTATTGTCCATGGTTCGCAGGGTGCAAAGGAAAGAATGATATTTTCTTTGTGTGTGCCTGGAGGGAGGGGGTGGGGTATGAAGAAAGTCATGCGGACAGGGATGAGCCGCGGGAGAGAACACGGGAATTGAATGAATGAGGGAAACTGAAAGAGACGAACGACTCATGAGCCCCGGAGTGAATGGATCCTGTGTTTCTATTTTTGTATACTTTGAACTGTTACTGAATACAGGCTGAAATAAAGCCCGAAAACACACACACACTCCTCACTCTCCACTTACTACCACACACAGACACACTCACACACGCACATACATACACACACACACACATACACACACAGGAGCAAATTTTTGGGTCTATATCTATTTCAATTTTCAAGAGCTAGTCTAGAGATTTTTAGATGAGTGAAATCAAAATTAGAACAGCCCATAAACAACAACAAACATTAACAAATGTGCGTAATAAAAAAAAAAAAGGACAGGATATTACATGTAAATTATGGAATCACACACATTAATAAGGGGCTTGCCAGTGTCAGTACATTGGTCGCAGCAGTGACAAACGCAGATGCCAGTTCTATGTGTCGTTATCAATAACCCTCCGTAGATCTAGATCTAGACAGCACACGAGTGAACACAACACATTACGTTTAAGAGCAGCACCCTTCATAGGCAACACGCCATATCTGTAGCGAAAAACTGTTTGGAATTGTAGCATTTCTTTATATAAATATTTACTGCGGACATTTTTTGGACCGATTGAACCCTATTGTATATATACGAGCAATCTTTGGTAGGCCTATAATATAATTATAGATCTATATAATATCCGAAATTTGCGAGAAAGGATGTGATTTCAGAGTGTTCGGAGAAATAGTGCCCATCTTTATTTTCCCGAACGTTCGGAGAAATAGTGCCTAGCTTTATTTTCCCGAACGTTCGGAGAAATAGTGCCCAGCTTTATTTTCCCGAACGTTCGGAGAAATAGTGCCGGCCTTAAAATAATGCATTTTGCACTAAAAGAACTTACTTTTAGCCTCCAAAAATCCCAAACTGTGTCGTCATTACAAAAAAAAAAAAAAAAACCCATTTAAATAAAAGAAATCTGATTTAAATTTAAAAAATCGATTTTTTTGATTTTTATTTTAAAAATCCAAAAAATCACCAACCCTGTCTGTTGAGTTAAAAAAATTTTCCTGTTTTATTTTTTGCAGGCTGACGGCGTAGCAACTATAAGAACGCGAAAGTTCATGACCAACCGACTGCTATGCAGAAAACAGATGGTAAGTGATGGAGAGTTATTTGTTCCATTTTACAAAAATGTATTGCTCAAGACCAGAGTTAAGGACCAAGTTTAAGTTACAATGTTCTGTGAATGCAGTGGCATGCCATGTTGGATTTTTAAAAAAGTCCTCTTTCTGTGTAAATTTTAGAATGTTTACGATTTGTCCTTTTATATTTTACAGTGGATCAACCTTTACTGTGTGTAAGAGGCAAAAGTCATGTGACAAATGTGCGTATATTACGCGTTAAACCTGCAGATTACGCCCTTTAAGTTTTGGTTGTGCGTGAGCTTTACTCTTTATAATTTCATTTCGGGGGTTTGCATATACGCTTTAAAACGTAGGTGGTGTGCGTCTGGCAAGCATCATTTTCCCCTTCTCTATCCCAAAGCCGAGTCAATGATTTGACAGCACACCCACACACATCACATGCACGACCGTCACCTTCTGTGTCAGAAGAAGTCGTCTAGTCGACCTACTTATCAGCTGAGCACAGTTTCTGGCAACACCGGCTGGTTTCAGCTCAGAAGCTCTGCCCTTATTCTGTTGGCTCACATTTGCCAGTGTCGTGCCTTCAGTTTATCCCTGCCGTGAGATTATCCCCATCCTTTAACACACTAGTAAACATGAATTGTCCGCCATCGAAAGTCTGGAAAGACTGGAATGTGAAGCCTGAGATGGCTCTGAAGAATAATGAATCAGTTTATTTTCCAAACATGCTACTCATCCCTGCCCTTATTCTCAAGTATCCCGATTTTGATTGCGTGTAAAACCCCCCCCCCCCCCCCCCCCTTTTTTTTTAAAATGCCGTCTGTTGCGCCGGATTTTTCAAAATTCTTACTCTGCCTTCTTTTCTGTCTGGGAAGCACTCGTTAAACTTTTTGTCAGCAGAAACTCGGAGCACTATTTTGCGAAATGTCTATGTCGAATTTAGTAGTTGACTCACTAAAAGTTGTGTTTGATCTATCTTTGCTCACATGGGTTGTTTCAACTATAATAGAAGTAGTATTGATTTGGCATTCCGACCTAAGACATTCTCAATATCTACTTTTGCCAAAACATGCTTTGTCCGATTTCTGGTTGGTTGGGCCATCATCAAGACCCGTCAGTAAAACTGTTTCAATCGCGCGTTAGCACCACGTGACATGACTTCTGCGTGTGAGTTCCACGTGTGTTGGAGACCGTCCTTTGATGGGGTCGATTTAAGTTTATGCGCACTGGTTGAAGCGTCTTTCGGGACTTGTTCGGGGGGGGGGGGGGGTGTGTAAAAACACTTGGACTAGGAGACTTTGATGTGATTCTTCAGGATAAAAAATGAATAATAAAAAAACACACTCAGGCGCGGGCGCACACACGCGAGCACGCATACACACACATACACCACACACACGTGCGTGCACAGAGGGAATATAAATGAATATGATAATGGACACCCCTGGAAATTTTTTAAAGTAGGCTTGGCAGTGACCTAGGTGATTTGTCGTTGATCCAGATTTTTTCACCAAGTCCCAATTTTTCCCCCCCCCACTGAGATCCTGACTTTTAGATTTCATAGAGTGGCAGGTCTGTTTTTCTTGGTGTATTATAGTCGGAATTGACCCCTGTTGGTTTGTCAACTTTATTTTATTTTTGATAGGCCGAACTGCTCAACCACCACCTCTCTTCCCCCCTCCATATGGACACAACTTTAATTTTAGTCAATATTACTCATTTATTTCTTAAGTTAATTAAAAATCATTAGCATTCAGTCACAGTCATTGTCACTCTATGTGTATCTGTGTGAATGTGCGTGTTAGTTAAATGTTTACAAGCAAAAATTCTCACTATAAATTTATGAGATATTGACTTATACTTACCCTTTAAGTTTCAAAAACAAGGGTTTAAATACCCCTTAAGATAGTTAACCAAAGGGTGAAGGAACCTCTTAGGTTGGCCTGAAAATGGGAGCCCTGTACAGTCAGGCTACTCATGATTGTGAGATTACAGGTTTGGTAGTTGGAGGCCCAGCTTGATTGATGTTGGGTACTTGGGAAAGGCGCCTAATGTGGAATTTCCTAATCGACTCTGTTCATTTGGAGATAACCATTGACTTCGGGGGTCCACTCTCTGAAATAACTTCAGCATTGGAAGGGTGGCTGAACCCAACAAGTTTCGCAGTTTGTACAAAGTTGTATGTTTTGTACATTTTGACTGGAAGCTCTACTTCTGTAGTTTTGTCTGTTTTTCCTTCAGTGTCCAAGTTTTTTCTTACTGAATCAAGGTATAGATTAGAGGCCCCAAAAAAGTAGCATTCGGTACATGTAATAGAAGTGGGATTTTTGTTGTTGTGCTTTTAGAGTTAATTGTTGTGTGGTAAGTTCTCTCTGTAACATGTTTTATGTTCTGCAGGTTGTCGATGTCTTGCATCCAGGCAGAGCTACTCTTCCCAAGACTGAAATCAGAGAAAAGTTGGCCAAGGCTTACAAAGTGACAGCTGATGTCATCTTTGCCTTTGGATTCCGTACCCACTTTGGTGGAGGCAAGACCACTGGCTTCGCCTTGATCTACGATACTTTGGATAAGGCTAAGAAGTTTGAGCCCAAGTACAGACTTGCCCGTGTAAGTTATATTTCTCATTTGAAAGTCTTTATCAAGTATAGTTTTCTTCAGCAATAACAGAGAATAAGATAATGATATGAGTCTGCAAAGGTTGCTGGAAAAAACCTGATATTGTTGATCCTTGGTCAAAGCCCTGTTCATGGATTCTTGAAATCAGCCACTGCTGTCTGGTTCTGGAGTTATCTGCTGCTTAGGGGGGCATTGCATTTATAATTCCCGGAAGTAAAACCTGGTTTAGTAATGGGGCGGAAGATTTTGGGAACAAATTTGGCAGTTATATAGTTGCAGTGCTATAATTATAATTTTCTCTTTTTACAGTATAAGTTGTACTCGACTGGGTCCTTGTATTTTCTGCTTGGGTAAAAAAATCAATTGATAAATATAGTGAATGAGTTTTCCGGTTGTATTTGCTCGTTTGATATGCCAGTGGAAGTTTTTGCGTTCCCCTTTTCATGGAGTAAGATTTTTAAAAATCAAAATAGAACTACAGTAGTCTCCACCTAAGATCTTGATGCTCGGGAGCAAGGAAAATGCGGAATCTTAGGCGAACGGGATCTTTCCAGACGCACCAACAGAAGAATTCGTAGTGACCCATGTTTAGGTCCACCTCCAGTAAAATAGTCTCCTTTTACTCCGAAATGAATAGACGTGACCCCTGGGTTGGTTTATAACTTGCTGTTTGCAAAGAGTGGTCAGCTGTGATGACTAATCGCAGTGGCTTGAGGCATGCCATTTTTACTTATCGTGAGTCTTAAGATCTACACTTATCCAGTTGCTCCTCCCCTTTACCTGTCAAAATCTTTCACTTTCCATCTGACCAAGTTCCCCCGTCTTTGTCGTTACGCACCATTGCGTTTTGGCCATACCAATTTGAATTTAGTCTATTTCGCATTCGGGGAGTTGGAGACAACTACAACAATAGTCAGAGAAGAGCATACATTTCGATGTGGTCTGGCCAGTAGTAACTTATAGACCCTACCCACCCAGTGTGTATTGTAAGTTTAGGTGAGGAGCTCGTCTCGTGGCCTTCAAAGGTCCTGGGTTTGAATTTGTGTAGCGACAGAAAAATTTTCTTCTATAAAATTGACTTTCACCTCTTTTCCTGCTCTCTGGCAATGTTCCATCGTCTGCTTTCGATTCCACTTCCTGCCCTCACCTCCTGTGCCACCTCTTCTGGGCCTCTGACTCATTTTGCAGCCTTTCTACTTCTACTACTTTGCACCCTCTTACTGCTGTCTTTCAGCCACACCCTTGATCTTCTGGTAGGAAAGATCTACACCTAGCCTTCTTGGACAAGGGCGAAAAATCTCGGAGGTGCCATGTGCAAGTTGTGCATGTTAAAGATCCTTTGGTGATCTAAAATTGAAAAGAGTAGGCTCCGGCCGCCACCAGGGCCAAATTCAAAATTTCCGACCAACTGAAAATGTTTAATATGTCCCACGCACTCAAATGTCCTTAAGGTGCGGGTGTCATGGTCGGGGGAAAAAACAGCATCGGCAGTTCACCCCTCAGTTTGATTCCATCAGGAGCAAATATTGTTCTGTTTCATAGAGATTTAATTACAACAGACTCCTGTGATTACATTCACGAAAGTGGCTGATCTGTGATGCAACGGGCAGTTCAATGATTGCAATTTTTCACGCCTGGTTGATCTTTTGTGCCCGCCCCGGGTTTTGGTTTAGTCTAAATTAGTAAATTATCTGAAATGCGGAATCTTAACAGAATCATGTAGACCTTCAAAGCAGGATCTTAGGGGTGACTTGTGTATCAACTCTTTGAAGACGCACCCACTTTCCCCCTGTCGATACCCTGTGAGGCACCTTTTTTGCCCTTTCCTATCAGCAGTACAAAAATCACACTTACACCACTAAAAGACAGTGCTTCAGTCTTCCGCAATTTTGCGGATTAGCAAATTAGCAGAATTCCGAAAATGGAAAAATTGCCGTGAAAATTCGTGCATAAAAAAATTATGTTAAAAATGTGAAATAAAACATTTCCGTAATTACTAGATTCTAATAGCCAACAATAGCCAACCCATACCGGAAGTGCTCTTTTATTTGAAAGTGTATACAGTGTCATTTACTTTCACTAACATCTGTGGCTTTGTTGCTCACTCCCGGATGGTTGCAGTAAACTACCATATTTCATATGTATTCGCTGGCACGCTCGCACAGTTTGTATAACTTCACGTCCCACTTAGTGGGTTTGTCCTTCATGTAGACACGGAATGACAAACGGTGTTTCCAGGGACAGATGGCTTTGCCGATACAGATTTTCTCTCTATGGGTGTATAAGGCCTTGTACGTGGTGTTCATATGATCAAAAAACAGTCTCACCTTGTGAAGTGGGTCATGACCAGGCTGACCTTGGCACAAACGTATTGTTGTCGTTCATGTTATAAAAGGCGAGGATTGCCTTGAAGTGATCCCTTTTCATTAGGGTGGCAGCGAATGGTGCTGCAACTGACAGGTCTTTGCTCCTGTAGTCAGTGAGAAGTGTTTCGTTTCACAAGACCAGTGTGAATCAGAAAAGCAAGAAACTTTAGAATTTCATTCTCAGTCACGGGTTTCCACGTCTTGAAATTGACCGTTTGGTTAACAGCGCCCCGCTTCATTCCTTCTCCTGAATAGTATGTCTTGCGTACTAATTTTTCGCTCTTTTTTCATGTTTTATCACGTCTTTTGTTACCATCAGTTCATAGAAACAGTTGTGAAGCATCATCAGGCACATAAAACTTTATTACCGGTTGACTGGTGAAAGGGAAAGTTGCCGAAAATTGTCGAATGGTTCGAACCCTCTCCTCACCATTGGCCTTTTCTTCATCCTCATCATCATTTTCCATTTGAATGTTATAATAGACGTCCTGTGGGTGGTTGGCGGGTACCCTGGTGTAGTTTGCTTCTTCTTTCCTATCAAACATCTATCATCCTTATCTCCCCTTCTTTTTTTATGTTTGTTACTCTCTTGTAACACCTCTATCTTCTGGCGCTCATATGACCGTATGCAGTTACGAGTGCCGTAAAACCCTCTACTAAAACTAAATTATAGACGTCCGGAAGTCTCATCTCCACCCCTACTTATTCTAGGTCTCTTGCTTGGGCCTGTTCTATCATTGTCACTGTGACTAGAGTCGACAGAGGGCCCGTCGCTGGAATTATTCGATCTAGACGTAGATCTGCCAACCAATGGCACAGATTTATCATCACTATCATCTGAACTATCTTTTCTTAACTCTAAATCTAACTCCTCATCACTGCCATCATCCATAAACAACTCAAAAGCTTCAGTCCGCATCAAACCACGTCACTTGCCATTTTGGATAGAAACTGCGACATCTAGTACGAAACAATGGGCTTAAAACAAATGCCATGCAATGCTATCCTAATTCGAAAGCAAATAAAGGGAATCAACCAAATTATAGGGATTTGGGTGAGCTTTCCAATGATATAGTTTGTCCACCTTAGCCCACTTGTTTTGCCAAATAAATACGTTTAAAATCGTCAGAGATCCCCGTCAGCGGATTATCCGCTGATGCGTCGTCAAAGAGTTAAAATTCTGTTTATTAAAACAGCAGGATCTTTAGCAAACCGTGACCGTAAGCGGTGGGATCTCTGGCGGAGACTACTGTATTGAAGTGTGCTAGATATTTAGGTTTGATTCAAAAGAATAGAATGTCATGTCTGTGTACACTTTTTGTTAGTTTTAAAATGTTTGCGATTTACTGTTCTGTAGTATCAGATAAATGTGCCCCTTGTGTTAATTTTTTTTCCTCTTGCTTTCTCGGAAGTAGACTTACAGAATAAGAGGTGTGAATATGTCAGTTTTAAGGTTCAAGATGATCTGAAGTGGAGGAAAAAATGCCTTTACACGCTACATACATTTTTATACTGCTGCTGTTCAGTGCTTCCAATCTTCCATATTTTTACGGAAATCCCTACTTTCTGATACATGTAGTTCTATACTTGATCATCAACTCCCTCCGATAGTGTAAGATAATGCGATGGGATAGAGTAAGGCTACTGAAATTAAAATCTGGCAAAGAATCCGTACTCCCTTCGTATCGGTGTAAGTTCTGGATATTTGAGGTAATTTTCTTGTACTGTATCTTTTGAAATCATTAAAAACATTTTTTTTATAGGTCCCAAGAAAGATTGCAAACGATACCATTTTACTACCATGGTATGGGTGAAAATATTTCATTCTGTGCTAGACAATTCTTCTCTGGAAGTGATACCTCTAACAAACCCCCCACCCCTGAAACAAACCCAAAATTGCGTTTTTATCGGGGTGGCTTTTTTTGCAAAAATATTGATTGGGGAGCACTCTTCAGATAATTCAGCATTCAAGTCACCATTTGAATGTAGGGCAGTAAGTTGTAGAAGTACTAATGATGTTCTGTCAACTCTACACAGCTGATAGGGTTTAGATGAGCTTATTAAGGATAGTGAAGAAATTGCTATTAAAACTTAGTTGAAAATGTGTTGATACTGAAGATATTCTAGTGAAAGTGATTCTGGGGGAGACTGTTATTCTGTTGATAGTGATGGGTGATAACTGAACATTGCTTCTTAAATAACTCTGTTCTTACTATGCAATGACATGAGGAGATATGTTTGCTGTCTTTTCGAGAGCTCTAGTTACCTGCACACTCTGGTTTAGATTTGAGATTGTTTCTAGAACTGCAAAGCCTACCCCTGTTGACAAGGGATATTAATTTATTCTTGAGATACAAATTATATAATCTCTTTCTTCAACAGCATGGTCTTCTTGAAATTAAAAGAAGTGGCAGAAAGCAGAGGAAGGAGAGAAAGAACAGACAGAAGAAGGTCAGAGGTACCGCAAAGACGAAAGTGGGCGCTGGGAAGGACAAGAAGGTAATACGATGGGTTATTCTTTCTTTTTGTCTCTTTCTGGTGGGTGGTCTAGTGTGGTTTGCTTATTCTTCCCTAAGTACATCTATGATCCTTATTTCTCCTCGTTTTAAAAAATGTTAGTTGCTCTCTTCTAACACCTGTAATCTTCTCTTTTCGTCTCTGAAGATATTGGGGTAACCAAGTCATGTCTGGTTTGGTTTTTTGTTGACATATATATTTTCTCACAATGTGTGTAACAAGTTAAGCAAGTCTTACTATTTCAAGTTATTTACATCCCCATTCTGGGAACTTTATTGATTTTAAAGATTCAATGATACAGTGAAACTAGAATTCAATGAAAGGATTTGGATTCTCCGAATTTTTTATTCTTAAAAATTAATAAAAATAACTCGGATTTAGCGGACACTTAAATGAGTGAGCTCGGATTCAACGAAGTCGCTTACAGGGTTAACTGCTTTGTGCGACCAATCAGCGGCCCCCTTTCATACCAACACACCCGTTGTTATCATGCACCCATGTTTTAACGTGTCTCGGGGTCGGACGGGCGGCCAGCACACATATGATTTGTGACTGTATGCATGTGTCTGGGGGGATGAGGGACCAGGCCCGACGACTTTGTTGAATCCCAGTTCCACTGTACAAACAGACAATAGTTGCATTGCAACTTCTCTGGACAATAGTTGTCATGAGAATGGGCTGGGGCGTCTTTGATGCAGTGTACAAATGGAAAGGGAAAATAGTTCTTTTTATGTCGCACACGGTTTTTATTTTTGTAGGGGTTATGGTTTTCGAAAACTTTAACAAATTTACATCTACTTTGGGAGACAAAATGACAATGTTGTGCCAGACGCTAGTTACGTGAAGTCACTGGTTGAAGTATTGAAGTGGAAAATTGCATCAGCAACAAGTATTATCCAGATGTCTTGCCTTTGGCATGCAGAATGATAGGTTATGAATTGAAATGTATGCGGAACATACACAATAGCTTACATTATAGTCGGCCTCAGTCACATTGGTAGAAATTCCCTCTTTTGCTTTTGTGTCGTTTGTCTTCCTGTTGTCTTGGTGATTTTTTGAATATTTTAAAAAGAATTTAGGGATTTGTTGTGTCTGTTATAACGTGTTACTACTGAGATGGTTATTTAGGTTCATTGTAAAATGGAGAGATCCACAGTACGTATGTGGTCAAGTTTTATTTTGAAACTTTCTCTTTATACTGTAGATTGTGTGAATATAAAATAATGACCTGTGGTTTCAGTCTCCATTCTTTTTGACACAACCCCTACTTAGTGCTGCTGATAGCAATAGTTTTGGACAAGAAAAGTGTAATATCTTACACATTCTTCCCTTCCAGTTCACTGCAGGTCTTCCAAAGGAAGCACTTGTTATGTAAAAAGTGAAAAAGGCTTGTGTTTAGGTGGTGCTCACAAATAAGTCATAGTGAATAGTTGAAAAGTTTCAGAGACCTATACTATACATTATATGCAATGAGTGTGGTGAATTAATTAATGCTATAGGTTTTGTGCCAAAGACTTGAAAAATAAGTTATTGAATGAAAATGATCTTGGTAGTTTTGATTCATTGTTTTTTAAACTTTAAATGTATGTCCTGTGTGTCTTTCCTGAAAAACAATTTTTTGACTGTTCAGTGTTATGTCACATTGGACATTTATTTCCTAGTTCAAAGCCATGTTCTATATGTGCTGTGAAAATAATGCTTTTTATGACTCATCTTTGCCTTTTTTTTCTTTTTCAGTAATCGGATGTGCCAGGAGAGAACATGTGTTTTATTCTTTATTTCTATAAGAAATAAATCCATAGGTCAACCATATACAATTTTTTTGGTTTTATTATTTCTTTCCTGTTGTGTTATGTACAGTCTGTTAGTGTGTTTAGTTAGTTTTAGTAGAGGTTTTATGGCGCTCACAACTGCCTACGGTCATATGAGTGCCGAAGATAGATAAAGAGGTGTTACAAGAGAGTAACTAACATAAAAAAAGGAGAGATCAGGACGATAGATGTCTGAAAGGAAAGGAGCAAACCACACCAGAACACCTGCCAACCACCCACTGTTAGTGTGCGGTTGGCGAGATCTCTGGTGTGGTTTGCTCTTTCTTTCTTATCAGATCTATCGTCTTTGTCTCTCCGTCTTTCCATGTGTTTGTTACTCTCTGTTGGTTCTCGCAGGTGTCTTTAAGTTTTTCAGACCCATGTTGATGCTGCTGGTTCCACTGCTTTCGTGCTGGGCTATGCTGCAGAGCAACTTTGGATTTATGTTGGCAGGGTTTTGGACTTTCCACTTTCTTAGCTTGGTCCTATTGGAGATTGGTGTAAAATCTGGTGGTCCTGCATAAGTAACCTTTGCATTGGTTTTATTGCAGTTGGGATTATGCATATTCCTGCTGCATATCTTTTTTGGGGTAAACAGGGCTTCCAGTCTTCCGCAATTTTGCGGATTTCCGCAAATTAGCAGATTTCCGCAAATGGAAAATTTTCCGTTAAAATTCGTGCCCCCCCCCCCAAAAAAATATTTTCAAAAATGCGAAATAAAATTTTTCCGTTATTACCAATAGTCAACAATAGCCAACCCATACCGGAAGTGCTCTTTTATTTGAAAGTGTAGACAGTGTCTTCTACTTTCACTTTCTAAAGCACAAGAAGCAGAGCACCAGCTCTGTAAACAAGAGGAAGAAATGACGATTGTGGTTCAATAGATCTTGGGCCTGCCAAGAAAAGAAAACTCTAAAGAGAGCTTGATTTTTTTTACCAGACTTGTTTATTTGTAAGTATTGTTGTGGATTTAAGTTGAATATAAGCTGTCAAGTTATTTAGATCTAGAATCTAGAGATCAAGTCAAGCTGTTATATAAAAAGCTATTATTGTAAATTCTACACCTTATGCTGATTATGGTGCAAACCAACACAAGCAGAAAAAAGTTAAACATTAACTGTCAAGTTTTATAGATCTAGTTGTGGATGTACAGTATCTGTACAAGGGAGAAAGCATGGCTTTGGATTTGGAAATATATGGATTGATTAACACAAGCAGAAAATTATGTAGGCCTATAGATCTAGATCTACAAGGTATGGTTTTTTTTTCTCTATTATTTTCTAGTTACATTTAGGCCTGAATAGCCAGAAATGGCATACTTAGGATGCTCTGAAACCAAAATTTCTCAAACAGAAAGGGGACGTTGTCCCTCTTCAACCCCCTGTCAGGGCTCTGCCCTGGACCCAAAAATCCTCGAAAAATGACATCAGCTGCTGGGAGCTCTGGGTAAAGATAAAAAGCATGGAAGTACCGTACCGTGTACACTTTGCACTCTTTTGGCAGTGGAAAGAGAACAGTAGGACTGCCCAAGCCATGTTCTTTTGTTCTCCAAACAAACTGAACGTTTTTAGTGTGTATTCTGGATAAGGGTCTTATAGCAGTGAATTCCGTTTTTCAGTAGTAGGAAAACTGGTCCTGCGCATAAAATGTTGCACTGTGGGTGATCTTACAGCTGGCAATGTAAAAAATGGAGGCAAAACTGACGCAATTTTGTTTGCTTTTTTCTTTGGTCTGTCTTTTTTTGGATAAGAGTTTTACGGTGCTTGCAACTGCATAAGGTCAAATGAGTGTGCAGGACACATTAAACATTTTTGGTTGGTACGAAATTTTGAATTTTGCACGGGTGGTGGCCGAAGCCTACTCTTATAGATTTTAGACCACCAAGGGATCTTTAAAGTGCGCAACTTGCACATGGGACCTCCGAGGTTTTTCGCCCTTGTCAGAGAAGGCTAGGTGTAGATCTTTCCTACCAGATCAGGGGTGTGGTTGAAAGACAGCAGTCTGTAGGAGCCAGGAAGTAACAGTAGAAAGGCTGAAGAAAGAGTCGGGAGCCCAGAGGAGGGGGCAAAGGAGGTGAGGGGGTGGGGGTAGACAGTGGAAATGAAAACAGACTACAGAAGATTGCAAGAGAGCAGGAAAGAAGATGAAAGGAGACGATTTTAGAGAAGAAAATTTTTGGTCGCTACCCGGCTTCGAACCCAAGACCTTTGAATGAGAGGCCAACAACTTTACCACTAGGCCAGGAGAGCCCCTTTGGTCTGTCTGATAAAAGAATAGATAAGATATGTGTCATGGCGCAGCGGAATCGTGAGCTCGTCAATTATTGGGAGTTATTGGTGTCGTT